CCTTATGAAAACGAGAGAAAAGGGAAACGGAGCGCACAGGGAAACAAGGACAAAACAGGAACTTTGTGAGAGGGACGACAAAACTATGACATGCAGTAGTGAAAAGAGGTGAGTGGAGAAGAAGTTCTCAGTGCATTATGGGAAGTCCTGCAGAAGTCTGAGCCTATAACAAGGGAGGATTCAGGGTCACCTGATCCAGCGCGAACTATAACTTTATCAAAAAGGAAGGTTTAAAGCCTGATGTTATATCAGCGCTTATGTGTCGGTATTGTCTGAGTGGCGACTATCTTTCTGAGCATGAATAGAAGTGACCGTGTGATGATGTTGTGTCAGCAAGCAAGCCACCAATGAGGAAGGTACACTGGCGCCCTTAGGATAATAAGGTCCTTTGACGTGTTAGCTGTCGGGGCAGCTGCTGCAGCTGCACAGTCAACAGTAGTACCAGCAACAACTAATAACAAGCTCTCGCAGTCACAGGAGGCTGTTGTTGCTAGCACCAGCAGTGCAGAAGTGCAGGAGGAGGGACAGCGATCCCAACAACAGAGGGAGAAAGAGACAGAGGAAGGTGTAATTAAGGACTCATGTAAAATGAAAGGCTATATAGAGGCTTTCTAGTCTCTGCCAGTGCTCTCAATGCCACATTCGGGATCAACTGCAGGCTTTTCAGGGAGCTTTTAGGACATCCTGATGGTAAGAAATTACAACAGTCTAGCTGTAACAAGTAGTTTTTGAATATCACTCTGAGACAGCATGTTTAAAATGTGATTGGCAGCACTTATCCTGATCAAAAAAGACTCAAAGGTTCCTCACAGGCTTACTAGAGGCCATGCAGAGTAATTATCTGCTCAGACAACAGGTTTCTAAGATTGTTAGCTCCAAAAAAAGCATGAAAGCTTAAAATTACAATAATTACCATGTATATTGATCAACTTATCATTTGAACTCTGCAACTAATATCAGCAAACTCTTCATGCAAGACTTCAGTCAATGACAGTCAGTGACAGGTTTTGCCTCTGTGTACCACCACAATGATACAAATCAATTGAGACATTCAGCTTTAATTGAAATAAATAAAAATGCATGGCATAAAAATCGAATTCTCCTTTAAGTAGAGTGAAATCGCTCACCTGCACACCTCCACACAGAAATCTCCCCGGATGGTTCCCGGCAGCGAGTCTGCAGGGTTGGTCTCTCCCAACATCTTCCGTGCAGTCTTGACTACATCCAAGCCCTGCCACACCTGGAGGAGCACAGAGAGGTTCACTACAGCACATCTGTAATCGGAGTGACCCCACAAGCTACTGCGAAAATCTCAGCGTGGAACAATGTGCGCATCACGTCGAGGAGTCTCACCATCGCAACAACTGGTCCCGAGCTCATGTAGGTTACGAGTCCGCCGAAGAAGGGCCTGCTCCTCAGGTCCCAGTAGTGTTCCCTAAGAAGCTCCTCTGAGGCCTGGTATACAAACACACACGCGACAGATTAATGGATAATACCGTGGTTCATGGGTCACAGATCAAAATATTTTAGAAACACGGAGCTGCTCCAGGCATACCTGCACAAGTTTCAGCCCCACCAGTTTGAAGCCTTTCTTCTCAAAACGACGCATGATTTCGCCCACCAGTCTCCGCTGCACGCCATCTGGTTTTACGGCAACGAAGGTGCGTTCATTCACCCCAGTCCAGCCTAGAGTCGAATAAAACGTGCTTAAACTCGAGCTTAAACGAGCAATGGCAGACAATACAATTACAATTATTCTGCTTGTAGCCACTGCACTCTGTGCATAGACACATTAAAGGGGGCCTGTTGTGCATTTCCTTATTTTATGTCACATATGTACTGTTACAGTGTTGGCTGCTCACATCAAAGCTGGTCAAAATATCAAAGAATGACATCAGCGTGGGCCACATTTATCCCACGCTGATGTCTTTTCAATATAAGAAAAGGAAGTGTGATGGCAACAGTACAGCCCAGTTTTCTCACTGCTGTAGTTAATGAAAGAAAGCTGTCAGCACAACTCTTTGGGCTTAAACTGCAAGAAATTAATGTGTAACATTACGGAAAAGGCTCTCGTAGCTTGTTGCCAAAACTGTCCTGTAAATATAAGGAGGAAACTTTTTGTTAATTCACAGTAAATACAGTATTTTGTGCATTTATTTGGTAGCACTATATAATGATGTTACACAGATTGGCATTATTAAGGTATTAGCAAGTGCTGAACTCGTCATTTACATAGCATTACTCCTCCTCAGTATGCAATTTTTAAATACAGACATTTTATTACTATGACCATGACTGTGATTATTACTAGCAGTGATAGTAGTACAAGTTGAAACAGTAACAGCTGAATAAACATCTGTATTTATAAAACACATGCTAAAGAGGAGTAATGATATAAATGATGAATTAAACTTTACTAATGCTTAATAGTGTGACATTATTATAAAGTGCTACCACTTATTTTACTGTGGAAACAAAAAACCAGAAACATTTCTGGGGGGATTTGTGGGGGAGGTCTTAAATACAGTTAAGAGCCCCAAATTTATGTTTATTTATTGCCGGGTGATTCTGGTCCCTGGAGCCTTATGTTTGGCACCCCTGGTTTAAACCTCTTGTTTGCACAGGGATGAACTGGATGGCTACACCCGGATCAGTAAAACGTCTACAATGATTATTTGGAACTGATTATAATGCAAAGTAGAGCCCAACAATAGAAATACAGAGTTGAAAATAAGCACAGAAAGCCCCTTTAAAAACTTCACAAACAAAAGTGCACACGTCTGAAAGCACTACATGCATTTGCTGTTTTAACCACACTACGTCTTGATGCATGCTCAATCATCCAGCTAAGTAAA